AGAAAGCCTCATCTTTCTCCCGCGGAGCGGCTGGTAGTTTCTGTTTATAGGCAGTTTTATTCTATGCGTGTGTTCAAATGTTATAAATTGACATTCAAAAAGGCTCTCTCTCTCTGCTTCGTCTATAAAGTTTAATGTTGCTGTTGTTGTTGTTAAGTGCCATCGAGTCGCCTCCAACTCAAAGTAACCCTGAAGAGGGTTTCTGAGGAGCAGCTGATGAGCTTGAACCGCCGACGTTGCAGTTCAAACCAACCTTGCACCCAGGGCATTAACCAACAGCACCCCACCAGGACTCCATTAAGTTTAATAGCTCCATGTATATTATCTCTTGCTTCACAGATACTGTTGTTGCACATCTGCACACACTGTTGACACTCTGCAAAATTTTTGTTTTGAGGTTTTAAAGCATCCTCCCCATAGTCCTGATCTTACTCCATCAGATTTTCACCTATTTGGTCTCCTGAATGCAGCTCTTAGAGGATAAAGGTTCACCTCTGATGAAGAAAGGAAGGCAGTGGTGCACTTATGGTTCGAAGCTCAGACTAAAACATTTAAAAATAATGGAATATGGAAACTTGTTGATAGCCAGACAGAGCACATTGAAAAGCAAGGAGATTATGTTGAAAAATGATTATTTGTCTTTTCTAAAAGTTGATTAAAATAAATTCTACAGTCAGAGTGTGAGTAATTTTTGACTCGCTCTCTTAATAATGAAGAATCTCAATACTCAATAAACATGAAAAAGATGCTCAACTTCACTAGTTACTGTAGAATGAATAAGCTCAACTGATTTCAACAGTGTTAAATATCAAAACATAATGTTGCGTGAAAGAAGCCAGGTACAATGAATCGTCTGTGATTCTGTTCACATAAAAAACAAGACATGCAAAAATAACTATGAGTTAGATGTCAGGAGGTTCCTCTTAAAGGGCAACAGACTGCAAGGGAACCTGAGGAGTCTTCCGGGAGCTCATGGTCACAGTCTTCAAGAAAGAATGTTCCCTTTCTTGATTTCTGTTACCATCATACAGGTGTGTTGAATTCTCAAAAAATCACTAAACTGGGTACTTGTGAAATGCACACTCTTCTATATGTACACTATACCTCAACAAAAAATTCAATAATAATTAAATATAGAAACCACAAAACACCATCAATCGCATCCTCCAATACATACGTACCATAAATTCTAAAACTATCTTTTAGTCCCAGTTTTTGGCCAATTAAATGAAGACTGAAAAGGGAAAATAAAGACAAAAAGAGTAAGCAAAAGATAAGATGAACAAGCAAAGGACCGAAAGAGAAAATAAACAAGGGAGATACACAGTAAAAGTCGAGAACGAATGCTGCTGTTGTTATGTATCATCGACTTGACGCAGACTCATAGCAATCCTGTCTGTATAGGGTTTCTGAGGAGCACTTGGTGGGTTAAAGCCACCAAACCACCAACCTTGTGGTTCACAATCCAGTGCTAATCCTACAATGCCACACCAGGAATCCAAAGAAAGAATGTTGTTGTTGTTGTTAAGTGCCATTAAGTCGGTTCTGACCCATAGCGACCCTATGTACTGTTTCCAAGGAGAAACTGGTGAGCTTGAACCGCTGACCTTGCAGTTCAAATGGACTTGCAGTCTGGCGCATTAACCCACAGCACCACACCAGGACTCCAAAGAAAGAATAGTGGGGAGGAAAAAGCAGATAAAGAATTGTAAAGACCATGTGTGAAAAGAAGGTATAAATTTAATACCTGACATGTTTAATCACAGAGTCCTGGTGTGGCACTGTGGGTTTAATGTCCCACACTAAAAAGCCGTTTGAACTGCAAGGTCAACAGTTCAAGCTCACCAGCTGCTCCTTGGAAACCCTATACCGGGTCACTATGGGTCGGCATCGACTCAATAGCACTTAACAACAACAACAAATGTTTATTCACTGTTGTGCATTTCCAGCTTTCAACAACTCTGAATCTTAGCCATTTACTAGCTCTGAACTCACTAGAAAAAGAAGAAATCCTTAGGGATTAAGTTCCTAGAATTAGGTTACTTCTAAAAGGCACACATTTTTCATTTAACACGGCTCACAAACCTGCTTTAGTCTTCTTTTTTGTTTTTTTGGGTTTGGATTTTTTGTCATCTTCTATGCGGTCTTCTACATTTTGCTCAACTGAGTTTATTTCTTGACCTTGATGAGAATCTAAAATCATGGCTGCATCTGGAGAGTCCTTCTTTAGTTCACTTTCAACTTTGTCACGTTCAAGTTCAGAGATGGTCAGTGTACTGCAAATATAGTCAGAGAACATGCCATTACAAAGAGCATATTGCATATATTCACAGTATGGCAAAGCAAAGCAAATAGTGAATAAAGGCAAAGATAATCCTAACACTGGTATCATTTCCTATTAGGAGCAGACATCTATTTTTTTACACACTAAATTGGAGAGCTGTCAAAGTAGGTAGTGTGGAGACAGTTTTATACTTGGTTATGAGAGATATATAGAAGCTCTGACTGGTGGTACTATAGGATAAGCACTGGACTACTAGCCATCAGGTTGACAGTTCAAGCCCACTCAGAGAAAGATGAAGCTTTCTGCTCCTATCAAGATTTGTAGTCTAGGAAACATTAAGGTCAGGATCAGCTCAATGGCAGTGGGTGGATTTTATAAAAGACATGCTGGGGTGTCCTGGTGGTACAGTTGCTTAAGTCTGGGGCTACTATTCAAAAGATTACCAGTTCAAACCTACCAGCATCTCCATGGAAGTAGGATGACACTACACAGCCGATCTACTCTGTCCTTTACGGTCAGCTATGAGTAGGAAGTGACGTGATGGCCATGGACTTATAGTATGAGAACCCCATGAACCAATTCAACTGGGCTTGATATTCCTGGGGAAAAATAAAATTCTATTTCATGAGCAATGAAATCCACCTGCTTTTGGACAAGACTGATCAAAGGATCCTCATCCTGCTGCCAAGTAAATGACCCATGAATAAAGTTCTCAATGATTTCTGCATTGAAAATAAAAACAAGAGGCTTGATATGTACAACTTCTGATTTCTAGGTAAAAATCAATTGTCTGTGTTTTCTAGTGTCACACAATTTTCAGAAGGACATTAAAATGAAAATCTGTGTTATATGAACTAACTGATGTAAAGGATAACAGTTCAAAAGCATACTAAGTGATAGGGAGAAACTAGCTTCATAATGTTTGCTTGTAATTTATCAAGTGAAAAATCTGCTTCTAAATAATCAAAAGTTGACTTCAATTATGTCATATTTCAAAAAGAAAAAAGTGAGAAAAGACTAGAATAATACTTCAAATGAGTCTTTCTAGAAAGCCATGCAATACTATCACACCATCAAATACTAATATTTACAGAGAACAACTATTCTTTGTATATCGTTTCATGCAAGGCATGATTGTAGTTCAAATTAATGAATTAAGCCTATGTACACCACTCGTCGTCAGTTTGTCATACTGTGGTAGCTTGTGAGTTGCTGTGATTCTGAAAGCTATGTCACCGGTATTTTAAGTACCAGCAGGG